ACTTTTGAATTAAGTAAAAAATAAAATATAATTATAATTATAATTTATTTAATATACAATTATAAATAAAAAGACAAAAATAAAATAATAAAAAATTGCTTTGTCAATTTTTTGAAAAATCAATTAAATATACCACCCTATTAAAACTACCATAACATTAATAACATTAATATTGATATTTTAATATAATTAAATAAAAACAAATACCATTTGTTGACTTAAAATATACAAATGTATTTTTAATTTAAATAAATATAATAAAACGACTGAATACTGATGAAAAAAAGAGACACAATAGTGTTGTATCGATTATTTTTAATCGAAAAAAGTCTACACAATTCTAATTTAGTATTGGTGCATTTTATTTTCTTGAAAAAACAAAAAAACAAGTTGTGTGTGTTGAATACGATGTTAAACCCTAAAAAGTCAAAACATTGCATATAAAGATTTAAAGTGCTGGTTTTACAACGCTATAAAAATAGTTTTCGGGTCATTTTTGAAAAGAAATACGATAATTAAAAATAGAAAAAACAAACAATATTTAAAGCAAGAATTTGATAATCTAAAATATCAATTAGAATATGACAATTCAAGGCAATCGTATGCCTATTAATCGTAAGAATGTGTATGACCAACTGGAGTTATCAGTATTTATTCAAGCCCACATAAAAATAGCTTGAAAGTATTTATATATGCAAATATATTAAAAAACATGACATTGAATTAAATTAAACAATATTTACAAACGACAAAATTAACAACTCAAATTGAATACGATATACATATATGACAGATTATAATTCTTGCAATATGGTAAGAATAAAACAACTTGTGTATTATGCATCATATTATTAAAACAATGACAAAATAAAAGAATATTATATTGTTTTATTATATAATACAACACACAACTTCAAAGGCGTCTTCAAAAAAAAACAAAAATTAAACCAAAACTTTCTTTATTTATCATCATTATGAAAAAGTGATGCGCCTTCTTCATTTGGTCAGTAAAACATTGTTAAAATAAAAACATAGGTTGTTTCTTTTTGTCAAACATTAAAAATATTAATCACGTAGATTAATTGCATCAATAATGGGCCGGCTCGTAATGAGTCGGCAAATCATGTATATGAAAATATGCACCATTTAAATATATGATACAAATATCCCCCAAACACCAATACCATAATCGCGACTTTGTTATATAAAAAAATCTTCTAGTACTTAGAATATATGCACATTTTAATCATAATTAAATATTTAAACTTCACAATGACATCATTAAAATATAACACAATTTTAATGATTTAAATTACACAAAATATGAAAAAGTAATAATAAAAATTAAAATATAGTCATTTAGACTTTTTTATTGTTAATGAGTTTTTATGTATTGTTTAAATGAAAAATATTATTTATAGTCAGACAAAAACAAACCATAAAAAACAAGTTTATTATCAAATTTATTATTGATTTGAAAATAACTGGCTAAATATACTATCCAAAAACATATTATACGGACGCAATTACTCACATTTAATGCATATGATGTTTTTACAACCATTGTGACTCTTTTATTGTTTTAAAGAATAAAACAAAAAAATCATTTTTGTTATCAAAAAACGATAATAAAAATGACTTTAAGAACAAATTAATTTATGATTTGTGCTCAAATGGCATTAAATAAGTTTTTGAACAACAAATCAACAAAACAAACAGACAAAGGTATGAATGCTCAAATAATTAATAAAATAAAAACAAATTCTAAAAGGTTAAAAAACAAATTGATAGATGTTCAGAAAAAAAATAATTTCAGAACATTTATTTAATCGTTTTTGAATCAATTGGTTTTATTATTCACATCATTTTCATAATATAGCCGTGTTTTTGTCTCTATAGATTAAAAACATAGCAAAAATCAAAAACAATATAATTGATATCCATCAAGTCTAAAAATAAAATACGCATCTTTATGATATATAAATAATGCTAATAAATAGGTTTTTGAAAATGTTTAAAATGAAAATATCTGCAATAATGATTTTATATTTTAAGTTAATAGTTATCTTGAGTTTAATAAATGTTGTCAGTGTGTAATAACAGTGTTGTTGATATTCCAAAAATAAACACTTAATTATTTTAAGTGTTTTTTTGTTTTTATCATTGTCATTTGATTAAATAAAACACTTCATGTTTGTAGTTTTTCTAATAATTTAAACACTTTAAAAATATTTAGATAAAACAAATTATATATTTTTGACACAATAATTCATTATAATTATATTTTTATTTTGTTTGTTATCTTTAAAACATGATAACAACGAACAGAATTTGCTACAATCTACCTCTTTTTTGTAACTAAATATATATGTTCAATTT